AGTGGACTACTACCATTCCCGAGAAATGACGCATTGGGTGGAGCCCAGATTGGAGACGAAAATCTACCGGGTCCGGAATTAGGTTTGGAATTTGGGCCCTATTCGGGGCCGTGAGCTTCTGCCGCCGAAGCCTGATCAGGGTTAGGTCAAGCTTGTGATGGGGAACATCGCCTGGAGGGCCAGCCTCCATAGAATCAAGCTCATCCCCGGATTTGGTGCCGTTCGAATAAGTGCTAGAAGAAGAGGCGTCATCACTGGAAACCTCCGCATTTACATTGGCGTCTTCCACCGCGACATCTTGGGCCTCCCCTTGAATGACCATTTCAGAAGTAGAAGTATTGGAAGAACGTGGGCGAGGCGCCATGCTAGCCGAACAAGGAAAGGAAAATAGTAGAAGAGGAGGCACGAGGATTACCTGAACACTACCAAGAACTAAGCCCTAGAGAGAAGGCAGAGCTGCGGCACGAAGGATTCAAAATTTAGAAACCCAGAACCAAAGCCCTAAGGGCTTATTTATAACCTGACGGCACCGGTTCTTCAACCAATCAGGAGAAGACGCATCACTAAGAATTATTACAGAGACACGTGTCACACGGAGAAACACCAACAAGTAATGATGACGATTATCGGGAAACTGAAACGGCAGCCGCAGAAAACCGTCAAGATTACGCCTTGGGAACTGGCGAAATCCCGTCCGCCACATACCCGAACAGCGTTCGGGCAACTTCTGCTACTTCCTTATGCACTCACTACCGTTCGAGACATAGGAAGTGGGGGACTTGTGTTGGGGTATTGGGCCGAAGCCCAACATACCCGGCCTAGAACATAGAAAGAGCGGAAGAAAGCATGGGGCCGGGCCCAAAGCAGCCAGAGAAATTCTAGACATCCCGAACAACATTCGGAGTAACTTATCCACTTGAGCTAACTAACGAAGCACTGACATAGGAACACCCACTGAGAAGTCCCGCACCCCGAACGGAGTACCCGACCAGGAAGCCAACAAGTGACAACCGCATTCAATGCTGAAGTATGGCGGTAGCAAGTGGGGGCATGGGTGCAAAGGCGGCAGAAGCAGCAGCCAACCGGGTCCAGCCACGTCATCATCCCACCTACCCCCTTCTTAGTGTAAATACCTGCATTGAATACATTGTAAAGGGTTAGCATTTTGATACTCAGAGCTTAGCAATAGAATTATCTCTCTTGTTCATGTATTTGATCTTATACCGACATACCGTTCGGGCAATTCAGTGTAATCACAGAATTACTTAATACAAGTGTAGCTTCTGAGTTCATCCTTAATCCACTGTTTTTTATATTTTATACACCTTTCAGATCCAACCCTACATCCTTAATATCCAAAGCGTGTGTTGGGCTTTCGGATCTACGTGATTAAACCTCAACAAAACATTTACGACAAAAACATTTTTTTATTTTGCTAACTCCAATTCAAATTCATCCCAAAAGCTCTCTGGCTTTCATGCATTATTTATAATATACATGAAATGATGAATGACTTTATTAGTTGAAAAGCTAAAAACATTAATGGAGCAAAATCATTAGAGGGATTTTAGTATTTTGACAGTTTTGTTTGTTTTTTCGAGTGTATATATATGTATAAAGAAAAAGGAATCAACAATTTAAATAAGAGTTTTTTACATGAATATTATCAAAAATATTTGGGATTACAAAAATATGACTATTACTAAGGAACTCATACGGCAACATGGGAGTAAAAATAGGGTAAATAGTCATTTTGTTAGTGGGGTTTAAAGTAGTTATATTTATGTAATTTTTTCTTTTAAATAACTGAAAAAGATTAGAATCTTAGAAGCTAGACAAAAAAAAAAATATTTACGTTAGTTCTAATGGTCATTAATTTCAGATCTGAATTGCTAATTGCCCTAGCTCATCCCAAATGCATTTCTCAAATCTTCAACATGTTCACCTACTCTACTTCGTTGAATAATTGAATTGGTCGGCTATTTGGCTATTTGGGTTTTCAAACGTAGTAGTAGACAAATTTAAAATAAAGTCAACCTATTTAATGATTTAAATGTATATGTATAATATAAAGCGATTCTAAATTTTGCCCCCCCAACCCTAAATTTTGAATATTTTTTGGGCCATGAGACCTAGGCCTCACCAGTCTCAAAGGAAGCTGGTGAGGCCTTCACTGCCCCCATAGTAGAGATGCCACTGATAACTATGACCAGTGTAAAGGGTTATTGTGGCAAACAGGTCATTGTTATAATGAGTCATTGTGATCGAAGTCACCACATAATATTGATTGCTAATCACTAAATTGAAGGATCATTACGAGGCCGTTTGGAACCGCTATTTTTCGGCTTATCAGGCTTATCAACCAACTTTTTCACCAAACACATAATTTTTGCTTTTGCGCGCTGAATTGTGTAATAAGCAGAAAAAGTAAGGGTGGAGTCACTTTTCTAACTGTATTGGCTGAAGTTACTGTAGATGACCATTTTAGCTATTTTACGTATAATTTTTTCTTTATTTTAGTAATAAAATATATTTTAAAAATATTTTTTTCTTAAATCAGCAGAATCAGGCAATGCGGCCACTTCAACCAAAACTTTATTAAGTTTCAGCAGAATCAGCCAAATCAGCCGATTTTCGTGCGCAAATTATACCGTGGGATCGGCCCACCATGCAACATGGGATCGGCCCACCATATGCATGGTGGGCCGATCCCAAAACGGCGTAGTTTTATTAATTAGCAACTGACTTCTTGCGCATACATTGAAGGAAACCAGATGCAAAGACGTGAGCTCATCAAATTCATCTTTGCCGAATCGGCCGCCGTTGCTAGGACCTTCTTTGCCGGTGAAATCGCAGCCTCATCTCCATCGCAGATCCACTCCAGGCCTCCAGCCATATTTGTTCGTAGTTGTCCTTTCCTTTGGTTGATTCGCCGATGCACTCCAGGCCACATGTAAATAGATGTGGCTGTCCATTTATTGATACTGGCCAACAAAAGTAAAAAAATCCAGCAAATTCAAATATATATATATATATAACAAGAGAAGCAGGTGTATTTATATTATTTATATCTATAGGTATAAATATTACTGTGTATACAACTTACATTTTGATTTGGTTTAACTTACATGTTCATTAACCTAATTTACATTTCTATTTATCTTAAGTTATATTTAGCTCAAGCAGGAGTATTGTGCACAAGTTATAATTTATTGTGTGTGAGTTACATCTTCCTATTCGCGAGTTACATCTTAATATACGCGAGGTACATTTTAATGTATGTGAGTTACATCACGGAATAAACTCTTGTTATATCATTTTTATAGCTCTAATATTAAAAATAAAACATATTCATTATTTAAAAAAGTAATTAAGCTATTAGGGTCAATTTTTCATTGTTTACATTGAAATCAATGTTTATCATATGTGTGTGTGTGTTATTCTCAAACAAAAAAAATCATTGTTCAATTTTCCAACAAGTTACATTCTGTATACACCTATGTTATATTTGCCCTCAACGCGAGTTACGTTTGTAATAACATGAGTTACATAAAAAAAATAACCCCTGCTATTGAAACAAAAAAAATGAATTTTTTAAAATCCTAGTGATGGTCATGATATTAAAAACAAAACATATTCAAGATTTACGTAAAGTACTTGTGTAGTTAGACTCTTTTTTTCATTGTTTGCATTTGATAAGTTACATTTCGAATGGACTTGAGTTACATTGATCAATAACGTGAGTTACATATCTTTACACGCGAGTTACATCATTCATACTACTGGGACAAAAAAATAGTTACTGCACACGCGTGTACTGTTCACGCGTTACTGTTCACGCGATTTTTTTTAAAATTGTGCAAAACTACGTCGTTTTGAGATTGGGAGCACTGTGCTCACCGTGGGGTGATACCACGGTATACGAACTGGCCTAGATTGCCTCTCTCTCTCTCTCTTGATCTCTGCCCTAATTTCGTTGCAAATTACACTGTATGACCGGCATACCATGCGCATGGTATGCCCGATCATAATACGTCATTGTTTTATTAATTAAAAGGGGGAGTGCTTGTTCCGTATAGTTCACCGGCGCCGCCGACTTTGTTATTACGCAGCAACGCAAGAAGCATGACAAGCCGGCAAAAGGATGCAACTATTGTTCCATTAATTCATCAAACGAGATAGCAACGGTGCTCGTTGTTGAACGAGAGAAGGAGGTAGATCGTTAACTAGCTGGTGCTCATGATTATCTTTAATTCTCCACTGATGGCTAGCTTCTCTTCTTTAGTGGCAGAAGTGATCTTTGCTTTTATTTACCTTACATAAATGATGAGACAATTTATATTTTGATTTGGCTCAAATTACATTTGAAAACACATGCTTTTACATCTCTGCAAAAGTGTTTTACATTTCAATAGTCTAAAGTTACATATCCCAAGGTACATCTAATTTGTTTCGAAGTTACATTTCAATTAAAACAGTTTACATTTCAATGAGTTACATATGAATGAATGTAATTTACATTTAGATTAACTTGAAGTTACATGTGGATTCACACGAGTCACATTTCATATAGCCATGAGAGCATGATGCTCACCATGCACCGGTTGCACGGTATAGGGACTGATTTTCGTGCTACCAAATGGGCTATACATATGATCCTATTTGTCTCCTTGCCATTTTAGTTAGCACTCGGTATTAGGATGTTTTCTTTTGGACTGAAATTTGCTGGTTTGGTCTGGTCTGGTCTGGTCTGATTTCGTCTGGTATGGTCTGTTTAAGTCTGGTCTGGTCTGGTCTGGTCTGAAATGGTCTGGTCTGGTAAACGTCTGGTCTCTGTGTATTTTATAACTATCCAAGTCCGGTCTGGTCTCGTCTGTTTAAGTCTGATCTGGTCTGGTCTGTTTAAGTCTGGTCTGGTCTGGTCTGGAACTGAAAACAGTCCAAAAGAAAACATCCTTATTTGGCAAAGTCTCTATTAGACTATTACTAACGGGTCTGATTCCTTCCTTTCAAAAACAAAACGGGTCCGATTCCTTTAAAAAAGCGGGGTCCGATTTTGTGATGACCGACCTGGAAGCGTATATGTGATCCCCAAAATTGTTATCATCAAACCCTAAAATAGACGTGAGTTTTGGCTGCGGGTATCACAGAGGAGCAGAGCAGAGAGCGGGCGGGAATCATGACAGGAAAGGCGAAGCCGAAGAAGCACACGGCGAAGGAGATAGCGGCGAAGGCGGACGCGGCTCTGACCAATCGCGGCGGTGGATTGGCTGGGCTGGCAGACCGGACGGGTAAGACCAAGGGTGGGCACGCGAAGTTTGAGTGCCCGCTCTGCCGGATCACCGCCCCGAGCCTCGCAAACATGAAGACCCACCACGAATCCAGGCACCCTAAGATTGAGTACGATGAATCAAAGATCGTTGACCTCCATGCCGTTTTAGCCGCCGAAGCATCCAGCAAGCCTAAACCCGGCGTCCGCGGCAGTCTTAAGAAGTGATCTGGTTCGATTATTGATATTAAAAGCTTCAATCTGTGTGATTTACTCTTTTTGGTACTCCGTATATATTATTGCTGCTAGAATTTCGCTAATCAAGTCTTGTGTTAGTGTCTGTTGTCCGGAAGCTCTTGTTTTTGAATAATAGTCATCGTGATTCATGAACTTGAGACATACTGCTTACTACTGATTCTCTGCGTTAGTCTTTGTTGTGATGATCTAGTTTCTTAGTCCCTAGATTAAGAAATAACCATTTATATTGCGATTTTTAAGATAAGGGTTTTAGCATACTCGGGTCCAGATTGGGAACTCGAACTGAATCAGATCGATAGGTGTAGATCAGTCTAGGCTAGGCCGGTGCTGTGCTGGTTACATACCAGATCAGTTTTCTGTTCAAATTTTTTATGGATTTTGATTACAGTCTGGTCTGGTCTGTCCAGCCTATGTTCCTGATCAATATAGGATTCTAATTCATGGTAGTTCATAAGATCCATCCATTTAGCAGCATTGATTCTGATCATAGTCTTTGATTCTATTAATTTGGTGATTTAGGTGATTTTGATTGTAGTCCAACTGATTCGGTCCAGTCTGGGACCAGGGCTATAATAAATATGATGTAAGAGTGTAAGACCCTAGTACTCTTACATGTTAAATTTCTTGACTTCATACTTTAATCCTTCAAAACAGTTAGCCCTTCAATTATCACACTTGAACACTTGACTGGGACTACAAAAGCAACTTTATCAAAGACATGGAATATAGTATAGGTATGAATTTACTGTCAACGACAAACCTTCTATTAATTTTACAAATTAATACACTAGGACTAATACAACACACTCTTCCACACACTCTTTCACATAGGACTAATACACTATGTGAGTATGACTAATACAATACACTAGGATTAATACAACACCTACAAATACTTGTCCCTCTTTTCATTTTGGGATGTTTTCTACAAATAGCTGTTTCCCTTACCATTTTTAGAAAGTTTTATCAATAAAGATACCTATATACCCTCATTATCTTTCCTACTTTTTCATTCTCTTTCCTACTTTTTCATTTAAACACAACCTACTACACCTTTTACACTACCCTTATTATTTTCCTTTTAAAACTTGCGCCAAACCGTCTAGGGACCTTTAATAGAGAACGGAGGGAGTTCACTCTTTTACACACCCTCCAAAATCTTGCCAATCCGCCCTTTAAATGGTTTGGTAAAGTTTGTTGGTTACATGCCAACCCCCCATAGCCATCTATTTTAAAAGTCGTGACTATTCAACCGCCACATACCTTGAGACACCTTCTGGGTTGACTTATTGGACATAGCCCAATGACAGCCACATCACGGGCTCGAGCCTGGCCACACACCGGACATCAATCCTGAGGCCCTTGAGCCGCTTGCTTTTTCGTACACCAAACTTGTTTCGTGTCTCGTAAGCCAAGCCACACTTACCACCGATCTTTCCCAACATTTGGACCACATAATGAGCCATAGGGATGGACCGGGCCTGGTTTGGGCCGGGATTTGGGCAGGATTGAGTTTGGGAAATGAAGACCCGGTACTGGCCCGGGTTGGTTTCGGGACCGGGACCGGGCGGCCGGGCCGGGTTGGGTCTTTTTTTTATAAAAGAATTTTGGTCGGGCCTAGCCCATGCCTACCAAGCCAACACACCCATGACCAACCTTGACCATGCATGCCCTTTCCATGACATTGCCCATGGTTTCTCGCAACCCCAACTGTCCTGTCCTAATACTTGATCTAGCTTCTCTTATCTTGACCAAGCATCATGTCTTAACAAAACTTCCACCTTGCTCGTTCCCAACAAGGTCATGCCATCATCATGCCTTTGTCTTGACGTAGCATCGCCTGATGACTCTGGCTGCCACAATGCCCTAAAAGCCATCCACTCAAGCCTTTGCCATGTCTCAAGATAGACCCACCATTTTAGCCTTTTAGGGGTCTAACACCTACCATCTTACTTTTAAAATGGATGAATAAATAAATAAACAAATAAGAATATATATGTTTGTATGGATGCATATTGTCGTTAATGGTTAAATACTTCCTATCTTTATATTATATTTTTATGTTCATGGTTAATCGGTAACATATACTCCCTCCGTCCCATTTATATTGTCCCAGTTCTTATTTACTTGGACAACACAAATCACTCTTAATTTCTTACTTTATATATCAGAAATTTATCAAATTTGATTCAGGTTTTTGCGACTTTGTTAAGCTTTAAATATAGTTTCTAAATATGTAATTTTTTTTCCTAAAAATAATTTGAGTGCGGACAGGTATCTGTTTGTTTTATCGTCGGTCAAACATCGTAAACCGTAAATAGACAATATAAATGGGATGGAGGAAGTATTATCCTCCTTTCCACATAGGGATGGACTCGGGCCGGGCCAACCGGCCCGGAACCGGACCGGCCCGCTACTGTGCGGGCCCGGACCGGCCCGGTCAACCGGTTCGGTTCCGGTTCGGGCCTCCAGGCCCGGTGGTATACCGGTCCGGGCCCGGGCCTCCAGTTTAGTGAACCGGCCCGGCCGGGCCCGGTTCGGGCCGGAATTTAATTTTTTTTTTTTTTTGAAATTTTTTTAAGTTTTGGGTTGGATTAGGTATTTTGGGCCATTTGAGGTGGTTTGGGGTGGTTTGGGGTGGAGGGGGAGGGGTAGGGGGTTAAATAAGAGAAGAAGAAGAAAAAAAAAAACATTCCGGGTGGCCCGGCCCGGCCCGGCCCGGTTCTGGCCCGGAACCGGAACCGGAACCGCCCACCACCGGTTCGGGCTCGGGCCTCCTTTTTCTGAACCGAGGCCCGGTTCGGGCCTGCCCTTCTGCACGCTAACTCCCTCATCTATGCGAAGAGTGACTGTAAAAAAGGAGCTCTGCAGTCCAAAAAAATTGAAACCGTACTGTGATTTTTTTTTCTTTCTCTCATACACCCTTTCCTTCTTCCACCTACCATCTCAATATAGACACAGTATTGCATCTACAGTTTTTTTTAACTTTCTCTGTAATTTGTTTAAATCTGCCATTGGAGTCTCTCAAAGAATTGTTCTAATTATTGTTATTTAATGAATCCGACTCTGTTGTTTTTACTGGTTTATTACTGATTCAAACGAGTGCTAACTATCTCAATTCATCATCATAGAGCTTCTTTAAGAGTAATTGCAACATAGTGTTTTATCAAATCGGGTCAAGCACCTAGAGCAGAAAAAATCAATTTGTGTTGTCCAGAATTTCTTGTTGTAACTTCAAACAAAATAAATGAAATGAAAAGAAAGAAAAAATTGGAAGAAATTGTGTTGTCCAGGATTTCTCGTTTAACCTCGGAGGACTGTCGTGACATTTTTTGGTTGTTCTGCCCTGTTTGGTTCATGGAGGTTTGCCGGAGAAGACAACCAGATTCCATCCGGGGTGTTTTGGGTGGGCTTGCTACTCGTTTGGGACGTTGGGTATGGATCTGTGTGTGAACAATTTTTTGCCGGTGCTGAAATCTATTGTTCTGAAAGCGAGATGGGTGGTTTGGGTGGGTTGGTTTTTGGATGAAGAAATAACGAAGCCAGAAGAGAAAGGAAAGTCTGTAACAGTGGACTAAGGAATGGGAGAGGGAAGTAATGGTGGCTAAGATGAAGGGATGGGTGAGAATATGGAGTCGAAGGAATTTGTGGCGAATGGCAGATGGGTAAATACGCAGATGGTTTTGTGCGAAGCATTATATTTATTGGATTTAAGGGTAGTATATTGAAACAATGGCTCAGATATTATCTACGGAGTATAAGGTTAAGGTTTTAATGGACCAAAATATGAGTGTTTTTTAACTTTACAAAAAAGTGACCCTATTCTTCTCTCCCGATCCAAATCTACGCAATCTGCCTCCTCTGCGCAATCCGCCTCCCCTCTCCCCTGCGCAATTCTTCTCCTCTTGTGCCATAGCTCGCTCGTTCATCATCGACCTCAAAGCCTACAACGACCGCCATCTGCCTCCCCTGCGCCATTCTCTGGTCATTGTCGTCATTCGTATCCTCGTCGCCCAAACCTCTCTCTCCCAAGCTGGTTATCTCCCCAAACAACTTCCTTCGATAAAGATGCGGCGGAGATGACAGCTCCACCTCCAGACCGGTTATCTCCCCAACTTCAAACAACTTCCTTCGACAAAGATGTGGCGAAGATGACAGCTCCACCTCCAGATCGTCACTCCAATTCGCCACTGTCTCTAGTCTGTCGCCTCCGGTTTCCACTGTCCTTGTACGCTGCAGTCGTTGTCGACATCGCCATGCCCCTTGCTTTTATTTCTTCTCATTTTGTTTGATTTTGGTGGCTTCACCATCGTCGTTAACACTTAAAATTTCAGATCTGGGATGGCATGGTCGGAATCTAAATTGGTGGAGGTTGTGGCTAGGGTTACTGGCGGAGGTTGTGGGATAGCAATTGGGAGCTAGGGTTAGGGATCGCCGGTTGGATTTGGGGGCTGAGGGCTGGGGCAGGTCCGGTGTGTGGGGCAGGGCTGATGGGAATGGGGCATGGGTTAGTGCAGGGATGTGGTGATGGTGTTGGGGCAGCCGGGCAGGCAGGGAGACAGGGTGTTGCGGCCTTGCGGGCACAGTCGCCTTTGAGTCGTTCGGATGTGGTGGTGGTTAGTGACTTAAGCGGGCGTCCATTTCACTAAGGTGGGTGAAATGGATCACAATGACATGTTTCACGGCTTCAGTGACACAGGCCGTGGCTACAGTGACACAGATGTTGGTTACAGTGACACGTCGACGGTGGCGGCAGTGACATATAGGAGTGGCGGTAGTGACATTTGTTAGTGACATTAAATTGGATAGTGACATAAAGATAGTGACACGGGAGTGGCGGTGTCACTATGACAGTGTCACTGTGGCGGTGACGGTGGCGGTGTAATTGGCGTGAAAAAATTTGACGATGATGACTCTTAGTTACAAAAAAACGAACATAGTGACATAAATTTTTCGCAGTGACATCATGTTTTCTAATTTCACATATATGACCTTCTTGATCACTTTTTTGCCCCTTTTTAAAAGTAGTCACTTTTTGGGTAATTAGTTCAAAGTTAGTAATATTCAGATAAAAACCCCTAGTATATTCATTCTCGTTATTTCTTACGTTGTATTACTAAAAAGTAATGTTGCAATTATATTGAAACTACTAAAAAGGAAAAAGTAATGTTACAATTATATTGAAACTACTAAAAAGGAAAGTATTGCAACTAAAAAAGAACTAAAAATTGATATGATATAAAAGTGTTTTAAATCAGGTTTTCAAATGTTTCATAATTTCTTTTCAAAGAACTGAAAATTGATCTTACCCTGAGTTGAATTTCACATATAAGGGTACAAATCAATGCGTAAATAAATGTTTGTCATAAAGTGGAAAAATTCACAAAAGTTTCAGATGAAAATACTTGCTACCCAAACTAAATTTATTTGTGGGACAACTCTGGTATCTTTCTAAAAACAAGGGTACCATATCTAGCATTCATTTGATTGGACCACATCACTTTATCAATTTTAATTTAGATTTAATTAATTCAACTGCTACCTTTTCATTGGTCTATGTGGACAAAGGTATGGTACGGGTACCACAGAAACTACCTTATTTGTGACATAATTTCAAATACGGATGGTCTGTGAGACTGTGACGTGACTCGGCCCTACGTTTACATTATGTTCGCACTAAAGTGTGCACATTTCATTTAGGATCTACTCCCTCCGTCCCATTTATATTGTCCCGTTTTACCTTTTCGGGAAGTCCCACTTATATTGTCCCATACCATATTTGGCAAAGTTTGTGTGGCTCTAAATCATTCTTAGTTTATTCTTACTTTATCAATTAATATCAACCACACAAACCCACTTTTCTTAATAATCGTGTCACCTTCTTCCGGGACAATATAAATGAGACGGAGGGAGTATATATCTTTAATTTATTTAATGATCATTTTGAGAGGTAGTATGCACATTTCTTGGCATAAGAATGAAATCCTCAAAAATATAAAGC